CTTGATGGTCTTTAGGGAACTCTGGGTACATCAGCTAGAGTACTACTTATCTTAGGGATATCTGGGAGACAGCCCTCTCTTAGCTTAATTTTACTTTGTGACTGAATGTCTCCTAAAAGTGGGTAAATCCTTATATCGTCAATTGTATTACCATAAATTCTACTTTTCTATATCATAATTTAGCAGTGGAGTGCTACTCTACAGAGGAGATGCCCTTTACAAGCTCCACGAGATTAGCAACAGACAAATCGTAACCTAAATGTTAAAACTGCAGAACTTCTGAAAGATACTAGAGAGACCAAGGCTCTCCAAGTTTGGCAAATCTGCTTTCCAAGGTGACAATACAAGCATTACAGGAGCCAGCATTTCACAGCGACATCAACAACAAGAATATTTCTAAGTCTTGTTGCCAATGCTCCGCTCAGACACAGCCCAAGGAGTTGAGTTATTCAGAGACTGATGCCCCAGCCCAGGAAGTTTCAAGGATCATGTAGGATACACAGGACCAGGAAGGCACACGCGGTACTCGCAGGGCCACACAGCACTGGGCAGGACATGCCAAACTCTGCCTCTGGCTGCTGACTCCCACGCAGCCCCGAGAGGATCCAGCTCCCATGGCTCAGAAGGGCCTAATCACAGGGTAGGTACAATCACGTCCACATGCACAATTTTCCGGGAACCTCAGGGGGGTATCAGGGCGGGAGTAAAGGTTACACAAAGGTTACAGTGGTCTTTCCTGGAACACTTGTAATTATTCCAGTCACAGATGAACAACATATCTTAACAGAAATCTCCATACATTGTGGTAAGGGTGGTTGAGTAATGGCTGAGTCAGTTTGCCCTTGGAACTAGCTTTTTAGTTCCTCATTCTCCTGGAACTTGGGTGGTGTAAGCCCGAAGGGTTAGGGTCTTTCAGTGTGATGACCACCAGCACAATAAAGTCTAACATTTGTTATACTAACTATGCACATCCACCTTCTTGTTCATGATGTTTCTCTTTTCCCCACTTCCTCTCCAGCATTTGTTGTCCATTGATTAGTGGGTCTTTGCCTTTTTGATTGCAATTACCACAATTCTTACCAAGAGACCAAAACCTGTTCCTATTTCTATTAGGAACAGGAACAATTTATAATCTCAACAACCTCCATAATTCTGATAATGACCAATATAAATAGTTTTTAAAATACAAAACAGCAAAACAACAGCTATGAGTTCCTCTGCCTAAAGCCTTTTCAGTTTTACCTAGGTGCTCACCTATAAAGATTAGGGTGGCTACCTGGGAACATTCAAATCACTAGCAACTTCTGCCTGGGAGATCCCTGCTCCCTTTTTTAGCATTTGAATTGGGTATCTGCCTTTTGCAAATATCCCCTTTAGCTACATCCAAAGACAAGACCAGCTCCAAACAAAGCACCCACATGACAGCTCAAAATTGTCTCTAAGGACAATTCCACAGGAACCATACAACTAAATAATTGGGTATAAACTGGTACATTACATTGATTTGGTTTATAATCTCATTGAATTACACCAACAAAAGGGTTGTTTATGAGTCCTGACATTGATTCAAAAATTAGTGACACAAACATATACTTCTGTCCCATAAGGGAACATGGGAGAGTTGTCTGAGTTACTGTCTTCCTTGCAGCAACAAAGTAACTGACAATATGTAATGTAAGGAATGAAAGGTAGGTTATAGCTTAAGTTCCACAGGGAAATACTCCATTATGATGGGGAAGACTTGGAAACAGTGTTGGGAGTCTAGCTCCAGAATTGGGTCCAAGATTAGGAATCAGAGCAAATAGAAATTTCCAACAGGTGTAAACGTGAATGTCCACAGCAATCCATTTCTCAAAGGAGGCTTCATTTCCTAATAATTGAACAACTGCAAATACCACTGCCAACTTGGGATCCAGGGTTCAAATTCATTAACTGTGGAGGATATTTTACCTTTCAAATTTTAAAAGTTAATTCTGGAGTCAAATATCCCTGACCATGATCTAGTAACATACATTTAATTAATGCAAAATGCATGTTCCCTTACAATAAAAGTCTTATAAAGGTTATTTTTTGCTTAAAAGAGTACTAAGAGCATTATGAACAAGGAAATTAAAATATATTAACGAAGACAACTCTAATGATAGAGATAGGCATTACTTGGCAAAGAATTGAAAATCTACAGCACAGATGCACTTAGCACCCAGGGTTAGAAAGTGAGACTATGTCCCAAAACACACTCACTCCAAAAATCTCTACTTAAAGGTCAGGCCTGAGAAGATGGGTTAGCAGACAAAGTACTCACCTGGCAACTGAGAACCTGAGTTATTATACCTTAAATTCTGCATTATAAAGCCAGTTGCAACATTGCATTCTTATAATCCAATGCTTTTAAGGCAACATAGGAGGCAGAGAGGAGAAACCCTACAATCCTATGTGCATTTGATAGTAAACTAGAGACCCTGTCTCACACATGGTGAAGAGACAGGACCAACACTGAAGGTTCTCCTCTGACTTTCCCACCCATCCCATGGCACACATGAACATCTTCCACACCCACACAGAAATGAGCACATACATAAAGCAACCATAAGTGAATAAATAATAAAATTACAAATTGGATGATGTGGCACACATCTTCTTTTCAGTACCTGGGAGTTAGAGGCAGGCAGAATTCTGGGAGTTTTAGGCCAGCCTGGGCTACATTGTGAGTTCCAGGAAAGCCAGAGCAACATTGTTGCAGGGGTGGTTGAATAACAGCTGAGTGAGGTTGCCCTTGGAACTAATTTCCTTTTTAGTTCCTCATTCTCCCGGGGCTTGGGGAGTGTAAGCCTGAAGGGTTAGTGTCTTTCAATAGAATGATTGGATGGAGGAAAACAGCCTAGGAATATAAACAGTGTAAAATTTCTCCCACTTCCAGTTCTCTTGAAATATAAGTAAATATACAGAAAAACCCTTGGAAGCTCCCTCTTGCATAGAAAATTGCTGTACTTCGAATACTGAGCCAATGGTATATAATGAAAGCTTGCTGGAATTTGATTTAAAATATTCAATATATATCATTTATTAAGCTGTTTATGGATAGTGAGTTCTAGGACAGCTGGAACTTTCTAATTAGATCCTGTAACAAACAAAAAGCAAAATTATATTCAACTACATTTGTGAGTGTGTGTGTTAAGACATGTCTTACTATCATATTCACTATGTAGACCTATCTGTCTCAAAGGCTCTGTTACCATGTTTGCTACTACATTTCTGAGAATAATTTGACAGGAACCAGTGGTGACACCTGAATTGACTTCAAGAGATATTGTCCTTAATCTGCTGTGCTCTTCGTTATTTAGTTTTGTTTTTCTTTTACGTTGCATGTGTGTGCATGTGTGTGTGTGTGTGTGTGTGTGTGTGTGTGTGTGTGTGTGTGTGTGTGTATAACACAAGCTTTCTTCAAACTGCCAGTGGTCTTCCTGCCTCTACACTCCCATTTATGGCTCAAGTAGGCTCTCCTAAAATTATTTAGTGAGAATGGTCAGAAAAACACTGGTTCTGTGAAAGATGAAAGACTCAGATGCACAGCCTCATACTGTGTTGTTATAAGCTGGGTGTTCATAGGGACCTCTGCTCAGGTTAAGCTGGGACACCTCAGTGCACTTTGGAAAAGGATTTCAGGATGAGTCAATGCAAACCAGAATGTGAATTTTATTTCAAGACCGGTTCTCTCTATGTATTAGTGGCTGTCATTGAACTCAAAATGTAGACTAGGTTATCCCCAAACTCCCAGAATTCTACCAATCTCTGCCTCCAAGTATTGGAATAAAAGTTGTGTCCCCATCATTCAACTTGCAATATTATTGTATATTTTCTTCTAACTGTTTGTATGGGTTGGTTCATTTGTATATGGAAATGTGTGCATGTGTGTCATGGGATGGGTGGAAAATTCAGAGAATAACTTTAGTTGTTGGTCTTTTCCCATCAACATGCTAGAGACAGGGTCTCTATTTTGCTATCTGTTTTGTTCATAGCTGGCGGGATTTCTCCTCTCTTCCTTTTATCTTGCCTTAAACCACTCGACTATAGGCATGTACTGTTGCAACTGACTTTATAAAGGGAGAGTTGCAAGGTGAGTACTTTATCTGTTAACCCATTTTTCTCAGCCGTAAAGTTTATTGAGTAGAGAGTTTTGGAGTGGGTCTGTTTTGAGGCACAGTCTCACTTTCTAACCCTGTCTGACCTGGGAACCATTATGTAGTCGATAGGCTAGGCCTGGAACTGAGAGACATCTACCTATCTCTGCCTCATGTGACCACACCTGGCTAAAAAGAGATGTTTACCATGGATTTAACACAGATATTAGCGGAAAGAAAGGACTTTTGGATAGTGTGGTCTGGTGAGCGAGCACCACACTTAAGAACTGACACAAAGCCATGTTTATAGTTCTGTTGACTTTGTAACTTCCATTTCAATGGGTCCTTAGGGAGTCTCTCTTGAGAAACTATGCCTCTCTCAGTTTTGCCACCTGTCTAAGCCTTGGGAGGTTTCTCTAAGGTCCTGATGTATAGGGGCGAGGCCGGGGGAGTTCCTTCTCTAAAACTAGGAATATGTTTGGGAGAGCTGGAAGTCTGGGACCAGGGCCTTTGGGAAGGGTTTCTTCAGATCCTGAGAGCCATCTCTTTCCACACCTGGGGCTGTGGTAATCCGTCCCAGCCACTGTGGACTTTTTTTTTTTTTTTTATAATGTTCTAGAGATACCTTGTGTTCCTCTTGTGCAATATTGTCAGATTAGCCTCCTTCTGAAAATGTATACTTTCTTTTAAAACTGAACCCATTGGTTTATATTAACTAGAGACTTGCTGTGGAATTTGGCGCAAATCTCCAGTCAATCTGGGATAGGTTTGTGCTTCAGGTGGAAGAAGCCAGGGCTGGGAACCACTGGACTGTTTCCCTTCAGCTAACCCGGTCCTGTCACTCTGGCCTCACTAGCCAATCAGGGAGTCGAGCGGACTCACCAGTCAGATGGGAGTGTTCTTCCTCCTGGCGCTAGGGTTCTGGTTCAGCTCTTATGATGAGGAAGTAGGAAGTTGGCTTCTTGTGCTGTACCTCATACGCTCTGCTGTGGGTTGAGTACTTGGCAGCTGCGCCATGGTGAGCAAGGGGCTTCTGTTCCCAGACCGGGAGGAGTGGCCGGCCACGGTGAGCGAGGGGCTGCTTTCCCCAGACTGGGTGGAGCGGCCGGCTGAGCCGGAACCGGGTGGTGGGTCCTCCCGAGGAGGGTGGGAGCCAGTGGCCAGAGGCAGAATTCAGTGTGGTCCTGCCTGGTCCTGTGCGAGCCTGCGAGTCCCACATGCTCCTTCCTGGTCCTGTGTGTCACGCGTGTATTCCTTTTTGATCCTGAGTGTCCTACGTGGCCCTTGCAACTCCCTGGGCTGGGGCTGAAGCCTCTGAATAACTTCTCTCCGTGGGCAGAGCATCTGTGTCTGTGCAGAGCATTGGGAACAAGACTTACAAATACCCTTGTTGTTGATGTCACTGTGAAGTGCTGGGGCCTGTAATGCTTGTATTGTCACTATGGAAGGCAGATTTGCCAAACTCAGAAAACCCTGGTCTCTGTAGAATCTTTAAGCAGTTCTGCATTTCAACATTTAGGTTTAGGATCCATCTGTAGTTAATTTTGTGGAGCTGGTAAAGGACATCTCCTGTGTAGAGTAGCACTCCACTGCTAAACTGTGATGTAGAAGAGTAGAATTGGTGGTAATAGAATTGATGGTATAGTGATTTACCCATTCTTAGGAGACATTAAGTCACAAAGTAGAATTAAGCTAAAGAAGGGCTGTCTCTCAGATATCCCTAAGATATGTATTATGCTAACTGTGCCTTTTAGAGATTAATATGATAAGATGTAAATACTTGTTCCCCAGGACTAACCAGCCTTCTAGGAACATTCCCATAACAAAGGAGAAAATGTAATTTACAGCCAGCCAAAAGGGTCCCCCCATTCCCTGCCCCCCTGTCAAAGAACCGGCCTCTAACATGCTGGTCACAGGGTCACAACCAGCATTAAGTCCTGGTGTGCTGCCATCATAGTCTAGAACAGCTGCATTTCCAGTCTTTTTGAACAGTGTTTTTGAGTCAAATTCTCTGATGTATATTGAGGACTTGAATCCTGTCTGTATCCCCACAGGGCATTCCCCTTACTACTGTCCTGACCAAGCACCATGAATTTTTTTTTTTTTTTTTTGGTTTCCCGAGACAGAGTTTCTCTGTGTAGCTTTGTACCTTTCCTAGAACTCCCTCTGTAGGCCAAGGAGGCTTCGAACTCACAGAGATCTGCCTGCAAAAGTCTGTCTCCCGAGTGCTGGGATTAAAGGCGTGGGCCACCACTGCCCAGCCAGCACCATGAATTCTTGTATTGCAGGTCTGTAGCACCACAGAGTTCTAAAGTAACCACTTTGAGTCACATAGTGGACTGTCCATTGCAGTAACAGGAAAGGACTTGTGTGTGGAGCATGGCATCTCCCTTCAGACCTGAAGAGGAGGAGGAACAGTGTCCTGTGTACACTGCAGGGCGAAACAGACTAGGCAATAGCTAGATCATGGGCTGGAGTTTAAGGCAGTGAGCTGCAGAGGTCTCCATCATAAAAAAGGACCCGCTGGGCAGGGGGAGTGACTTTCTGTGTAATTTAACTCCTGGTATTATTCCTTCCATGTGAATGAAGATAGGCAGAATTGGTGGGTGTACAATTTAGGGAGGGTAACTTGAAGTACTGAGTCTTCAGTTTCCAGTTAGGGAACTCCCCTGTGCAGATATGTGCAATCCTGGTTGACACAGTTAAGTCAGCTCAGAGTTTTGAGACACAGGCCATTGGCTTTAACTCCATGTGTCAGCTTATAGCACCCAGCAGCTGCCACTTTACATGGGAAAGTCATGCAGTGTCTTATGAATGGTATTCTCTCTAGCAGGGAAGTGCCTACTCTGTTGCAAAGTCAGTACTGCTAAGTGTTCTTCCAGTTATTTCTATCATTTTAAAAAGTCAATTAGTGTTATCATTTTTTCAGTTTCACTTTCTTTAAATGTATTATAGCTCTAATCTGTTTTCCAATGTTTCCTAGCCATTAAGAATTTCTTTCCAACTTTTCTTAGGTGCTATTTATTTATATACCTTTATAGAGCAATGGTTCTCAACATGATGGGTAGAGGCTCCCTTTAACAGCAGTAGCCTTAGACCATTGGAATACACAGATATTTTTTATTATAATTTATAACAGTAGCAAAATTTTAGTTATGAAGTAGCAGTGAAAATAATTTTATAGTTGGGTTCACCACCTGATAAAAGACTGTATTAAAGTATGACAGAATTAGGAATGTTGGGAACCACTGGTTTAGACCAATGTCTCCTGTAGCTCAAGTTTGTCTCATACTACATAATTGAGAATTGCTTTGAACACCAAATCCTGCCTCTGCTGCCCAGTGCTGGGAAGACAGTCCTGCAAATCCTTCCAGGCTGGGCCTTGACTGGTCAGTGAGATGGAAAATAGATCAGTGAATGAGTGCCCTCAACCTCTCTAGATTTCCTTGTGAAATTACAGATGAAGTGGGACCTGTGTAAGAGTTGAGTTCACTGACCCACAGTAAAGCAGGTGTAGTCACAGCACAGAAAGGGTTGGCAAGAAGGAGGTGAAAGCTTTTCTGCTGTGTCAGGAGTTTACATTAGCAATGAGTAGTGAGGTCATCGATTTTAGACATTCCATAAATGTCCTGACTGATCATTTCTCTGTTTCACAGACCAGACAATCAGGAATCTGGGTGAAGAACTGAATTTTTGTGAAACAAAATTACATTAGTTACACCAGTTCAACCTAAATAGAAGAACTGGATAAAATGGTGTGGCCCTGCCTAATGTGACTCTTTTCCAGGTTTAAGATGTACAGCCTGGGAGAAATGCATGAATAGTACTTAGTGTGCTCTATTACACATCCCTAGTCTCTGGAGCACATGCCCATAAAGCCTGTTTCAACTTTCCAACATAATTTTATGGGATTATTATTTCCTCATTTCCACTATCTCTTTCCTGGCTTCAAGCCCTCCCATAGACCCTTCATTGTGTTCTAATTCATGACCTGTTTCAGCTTTAACAACAGTTACTATTTGAATGTCACTTGTGTTTGGCGTCAGGACCTCTCAGCTCTGAAGCAAAGGGTTGGCTTCACTGGGCATTGAGTGTGTAATGGAATGTGCATGCAAAGGACCCAGTATCTTGAAAGAGGAATAGGAAGTGCTCTAGAGAATGGAATATTCTCTAAACTACAAGTTTCTCAGACTAGATACCTATCCAACCCTAGTGTGGAAGGGCAGAGCTGGGAAGGCTTGTGCTGTTTGAGTCATTGGATCTCTGCTCACCCAGTAGGGTAACTGCTAATGTCCTGAGATACAACTGGGTGGTCCTAACTAATGAGGACCTTTGGGAAGACTTAGCCATCAGTAGCACCAGTGGAAGGTGACTTCCAAGTTCTCTTTGGGATTCTTGTCTGCTTCTGATATAGGGAGCTCTAAGGAATACCATAGCTATGCCATGGTTAGTGTGGGGTCCGCTGTCCAGGAAGAGCAGGTTGGCTGAGCTGTCAGAGTCTGAACTTCTGGGACTGGGATAGACCATGAGCCAGACTGTGTTTCTGTTGGTCCCTGTAGTAACCTGGGCAGTGGCCCTTGGCCTCTGATCCTTACTGATCCAGGGAGTGTGGACTCCCTGGGCATGAGAAGGCTCTGCCACCCTGGCATGGGAGGCTATGATGCTTGTAATGTCACTGTCCAGTGTGCACACACAGGCTTTGCTTCTCTGACAGTGGGAGTCTAGGAAGACAGATTGGAAAACTGAAGGTCTGGTTTCTACAAGTTCTGGATGTTTACTTTTCCCTTTCAAGTTTGTCTTATAAATGTTACAGACAGTTTAGAAAATGGTAGAAAGAGGGTGATGGGGATCGTCCTTCAGCAATACATGATTAGAATGCTTTTAGCTTTCTGCTACTGCCAGCCACTGTGATGTGATTCAGTGAAGGTCAGTTTCAGGGGACAGAAGGAAGCTCTGAGCTACAGAGGTATCTTGGTTTGCATGGTTTTGGGGCAGGTGGATAGGGCAGAATTCACATCTAGTGACATTATGTGATTGGAATCAGACATTAAATTATTCTTCTACAGTGTTTTCTGTGTGGGCATCACTGGGGCTGGGTTTGCCTGAAAACACAAGGGAGCATGAAGGCTGCAGAGCTATAGCAGGGTCTGCAGGAGATCACCTCCCTTTGCAGAGAGAGCTCTAGAACATGGGGCCTCTCTTAGAGAAATATCAGTAGCTAGAGGGTCAGAAACAACAGTTTAAGGGTCACTTTGAGTTGAAAGTCGTGAGATCTGTGTTTATTTACTTTCTATACACATAGAGTCGTAGGCAGCTGCTTGCCTTTTATCTTGCCTTAAAAGCACTGGACTATAGGCATGCACTGTTGCAACTGGCTTTATAATGCAGAAGTAAAGGGGTAGTTGCAATATGAGTACTGTATCTGTTAACCCACTTTCTTAGTCCTGATGTTTACTAAGAAAAGTTTTTGGAGTGATCTTTTGGATAGTGTAGTCTTGTGAGGGAGAGCCACACTTAAGAATTGACAGAAAGCCATGTTTACAGTTCTGTTGATTTTGTAAATTCCATTTCAATGGGTCCTTAGGGAGTCTCTCTCTCTCTCTCTCTCTCTCTCTCTCTCTCTCTCTCTCTCTCTCTCTCCTCTCTCTCTCTCAGTCTCTCTGTTTCTGTCTCTCCTCTTCATTAACAAGATCATTTGGAGAGACACAGCCTCATGTTCTAACCCTGTCTGACCTGGAACTCACTATGTAGTAGATAGGCTAGACCTGGAACTCACAGACATCCACCTGCCTCTGCCTCCTATGTCCACACCTGGCTAAAAATAGATGTTTATCATGAATTTAGCACAGATATTATTAGAAAGAAAGGACTTTTGGATAGTGTAGTCTTGTGAGGGAGAGCCACACTTAAGAATTGACCGAAAGCCATGTTTACAGTTCTGTGAGTTTGTAAGTTCCATATTAATGGGTCCTTAGGGAGCCCCCCCCTCTCCTTCTCTCTGTCTTTCTGTCTCTCTGTCTCCCCCTTTCCTTCTCTTTGGTAAAAAAGATCATCAGTCAGTTCCTG